TGCCAAGTCTGCGGTTTTCCCGTGGAATTGGGCTACTTTAACACTGTTGCCGTGGGTTGTTTTTCATTTCCGCGAGTTGAAGCACCCCTAACGTGATATTTAGCTCCTGGAATGCGAATTTTACCGGTGGAACCCAGCCGAAAAACGTGTATTTTACCCCCGGAAATGCGATTTTTACCAGGGAACCCCCCTCGAAATGTGATTGGGCTAGTTTTGGGCTAGTTTTGAGTAGCAATTGGGCGGGGTTTTTTTTGCGAAAACTCCTCCTGTAGCGAATCGATGTGTTTTTGTAAGAAAAATAACCATATTAAAAAGTAATAATCACTTTAATCTAGCTTGCGCTCACTGTTGTAAACGGAAGCAGCTTTGGAACGGAAGCAGATGACGTATGAGTTCAGCATTGCGCATGCGCCGGTGAGTCTTGTGAAAACCAGCGTTTGTTAACAGGAGCAAAGGAAGCAAAGTTTTCTTTACAAATCCTCGTTTTGCATTTCTAATTAGTGACCATTGTTTTGTTTTGATCTCTCCGCTGCGCTTCCACATGCACTCTGAGCGGCGCATAAGCAAAGCTGACCTCATACGACATCCGCCTGGAGCTGCTTCCGTGTACAACTGTTGGCGCAAGCTACATTTAAGTGATTATTACGTTTTGAATATGGATATTTTTCTTACAAAAACGCATCGATTCGCTACAGGAGACCTTTGTTCCCCCCCCAGAGCTGTGTGAGACACTTTTTTTTTTTATGGATGGGCGCTTTTTATTTAACTTCTTTTGGACTGATGCATGCAACACCCGCTGAGTGGCATTAAACAGCTTGAAAGATCAAAGACAATTTTTAATATAACTCTGACTGGATTAGTCTGAAAGAAGAAAGTCATATACACCTAGGATGACTTGAGGGTGAGTAATTTATGGGCTAATTTTCATTTTTGGGTGAACTAACCCTTTAAGTTGTCTAATTTGGCACGGTCTTCCTCCCTGCTACAATAAAAGTAGTAAGGATTTCCTCTGTGTATACTTATCCTTACAAGTACAATTTTAGCTGTATTATTTGTGTCCCCTTCAAAAATTGCTCTTGAGAAATTTTATGTTTATTGTCCCCCCCCTACTGTAAGACGAAATTTACGCCCCTGGGAGCTGGTTTAATCAAAGCATGACTTATGATCTCAGTTTACCGATGGTTAAGAGAAGGTGCTCTGCCCACACTGCAGGAGAGCAATTATCCTTTTTCCCTCTGCAAATAAACTCTATTAGTGATGTGTAATCTCACGCCTTTAGATCAATCAGAGCAACACTGGAAATATCTCATTTTCAGCTTATCAATCTTCAGATTAAAGAACTTTAACTAACAAACTTAAGACTTCCTCAGCGTGTGGTATTCCCTCCTGCTCTTGCATTGTTTACATGTGCAAATATACACCTCAAGTCAAAGTCTGATGACATGGGCTGAGATACAGATGTACAGCAGACAGTGAACGTGTAAATGAAGATCTATCAGCGCAGGTAGAGTTGATCTTACCTGAATGTATCTCAAAGCACTTCTCAGAACGCTCAGATTGGAGGTCTTCTTTTCGTCAACATGAGGGATGTTTTTTTTCAGGGTCTCAAAACACTCCTTTAAGTGAGCACGTCTGAGAAAAGGAGATCATTTATTAAAACATTATAATAAGGGTTTATGTGGTGTCAGCACTTATTTATAATTAAATTTATATAAACATTTATATTTCATAATAGACTTATATGAGACAATAATTAAGCACTATATATTCATTTTTAATTGTTAAATATGTCAATATATATCTAGTTCACATATGTAACAAATAAACAGGTATTTGTTTAATAATATACATTTAATTTATATAATATATATACATATAAATTATATATTCAACAACTAGAAAACAGGTATTTTAATATGTAATAATATTTCAAAGTATTACTGTTATTACTGTATTTTTTATCAAATAAATGCAGCCTTTGTGAGGGAGGAGGCTGGGCCGGGGCAGGTATGTGGCGGTGCTCAGGTCCAGACTCCTCCACCCAGGTCACATGGTTAATTCGAATGGGCTGAGTATGAGAGTTAACTTCTGCTCTCCGCTTCTCCGCCTCCTGCTCACGACGCCGCCTTTCCTGAAGTTCATTCTCTTCTGTTGAAAGAAATACAGGGAAATTTACATTACTTGTCCATATTCAGAACCTACTGGTTATTCAATGGCCCATATTGATATTTACATAATAAATATTTAAATTTAGGCACCACAACTGCACAGTTAGAAAAATGGATACTCATTCTGAGATTTGCTAAAGATTACATTTAACAGTGTTATTAAAGATGAACTTTACGTAAGTGTTAGATGACAGCAATGATAATATAAATGTAAAAAATATGTGAAATGAGAATGAAAAAATACATTTTCAATTAGTGTTATTTTAGTATTTTTAATATACCTTTATAGTATTTATTCATATTTTGAATTAGGTTAGGTTACTATTTTCATATTTTCAATTTTATTTATAGTTTTAATTTTAATTTAAGTTTTAGTAATTTTGTTATATGCTTTCAGACTTTTTATTAGTTTTTATATTTCTATTTAAAACATTTTATTTCAATTTTACTAATTGTATTAATTAACTATATTATTTGTTATAACTTAAATTTATTTCAGTTAGCTGCCTAGCCAACATTAAGGTTTAAGTTTTACATCCAATATTTTTATTATATTTTATTTTAGCCTTATTTCAATTAACAAAAATATTTTTTGACAGTTTTAAATAGGGCTGCACAATATATCGAAAATATCGCAAATGTAAATATCGATAAATGCAGCCTTTGTGAGCATAAGAGACTTCTTTCAAAAAAAATGTAAAATCCTACCAATCGTGCATTTAGAACGATAGTGTACATACATTGCACTGTATGTGGAAAAACATTATGTGACCTTACCTATTTTTTTCAAGCTTATTGTGCACTTCCCTCGTTCCTGCCCTGTAAACACAGGTCATATGGTCTTTAATAGTTAGCTCTCAAACATAATACAAACTCAGAGCTGTAAAACCAACTATAAAAGTTTTCACATGATTCAGTCTTAAACAATGGTTAACATGGTGATAAATAACAGCTTCACATCCTGACTCACCCTCCAGGTCTCTTCTTGCCGTCCAAATTACGGTGGTCATCAGGCGGGCTGCCTCTGACCGCAGGGCTGGGGTGGGCTGAAGGAGGTCCAGGCTGAGGGAGAAGTGCATGCTGGGAAGCTGCGACGATGGAGCCCGGGTAGGTCTGGAGCTGCTGGGCTGGTTTGGTGCCATTGGATTGAGACAGTGATGTGGGCTCTGCCTTCACCTGAGACGAGATGAGGGGGCACTGGTGAAGTGCCTGCTGGTTTGGCAGTGAATGGGTGTCTTTTCTGGGTGGCGTAAGGCGGGGTGTTGCCGACGGGCTGAGAGGCCAGACTCTTTGTGCGAGAGGGGGTTAACAAGATTCGACTGACTGGAGGAGAACCTCTCATTCGCCCAGATGTTCTGCATATAATAGGTAACTTCACCTTTTGTTAGTTTTGTAAATGCTTGTTACTTTGAATCATAACATAGTAGTGATTAGGGCTGCACGATATATCGAAATATCGCAAATGTAAATATCGTATAACGGCGTGCGATATCTGAATCATTTTAATAATAGGCTACTTAAATCAAAACGTTGCAAAAGGTCAAAGTTTTAGAATCTACGCATATAGCAATTGCGACGCATATATCAATTGCTTGACGTTAAAAATAGTTAAGTGCAATCAAGTTGCAGAAAACAACTCTTTGCTGTCTCCTCTTGCTGTCTGACTCGCACCTGAACACACAGAGAGAGACGCGTTTCAGACGGCACGCGAACACCGAGTTGATTTGCCTTTAATCATGTTTGAACTTTCTCAGACTATATTTTTTGCTGTGGTATATGAAGAAGTACTTAAAGTGTATGGAAAGCAAAGTCACAATGATATAAAATTAGTGTCATTCATTTTTTTGTCATTCACATTGATGTTAAAATGACATTTTCTGATTTGTGACATTACTTTTTATGTACTGCTAAAACACTGCTGGTCACTTTCAGAAGTTGTAGTGATTCTTTCTTTTCCAAGAAAGAATGTGAAACAAATTGGTTATATAATTTTCATTTTTAAATATTTTAAAATATAATTTAAATAGATTTTTCACACTTCGTATCGCATATCGCATTTTTTAACAAGGTATCGCATATCGCATTTTTTTTTCAATTATCGCACAGCCCTAGTTTTAAACTATTTTAGTTAATGATAATAAAACTGTTTTCAATATTAAGTGATACCAATAAATAAAAAAATATATATATCAGCCAATAACCAACATGGTAATAAAATATGACGATCAAATTTTTTTTATAAAAAAAAAAGTACTTATCAGTCTATACATTTTTAGTTAACATCCAAAGCAAGCATAAAAGATTAAAAAAAAAATCTAAATGGATGTCCTCTCTGTGTGCAGTCTCTCTCAGTGTGATCCAGTAAACAGTGTTCAAGGAAATGTAAAGACTGAACTATATGTTGGACACTGCAGGTAACTTTTGACCTTCAACATATGATGTGATGACATCTCATCTAAACTGGGGCAAATGATGGAGACGGGCCGCCACAAATCAAAATGGGTCTATAAACCAGCCTGAGATTATATCTAGCTCAGAGTGAACTCTAATAAAGGAGCTTTTGTGTGCGTACAGACAAATGAGTGTTTCTGGTTAACAGTGGAGGATAGAGATTACACTGTTAGAGCACATGGTGTACAGGCTTCAGGCTAAAGTTTCTCTGGCCTAAAATGAAACATGATGCTCGTCCCCCTCCTAGCACACTCCCTTCTTCAAGCAGCGCTGCTCCAAAACACCACAGGACGGCCTCTTGAACCTTTGCCAAAACTACAGCATCAATAAATACATGCTGTTGCACCCGACTTGACAATGTTTAGGAAATAGTAGAGACATTGGAGAGACACACAAACTACTTTTTCAATCAGAGAGGAGAACTAGAACTAAGTAATGCACTAAAGGACTTCCACTGCTGTTCAATAGTAAAGCAATTAAGGAAGCTACAGCTATTTTAGGTGAAAGGATTGGTCGCAGACTGAATTCAGGCTGAAAAACATTCAATCACATTTTTTTAGGTAAATGTTTATCCCCAGTTTAATGTGCAAACCAAGGCAACTACAAGTAACCCACTTGTAGGTTGATTTTCCTGAAAAATGTCAATTGTGTGTGGCATATTCAACACTACTGTGTTTGTTTGAGCAGCCCAACACGGCAACACTGGCTACCTGAGCAACCTGTTTATCTGAATGTTAGAAAATGAAAAATAAATAAATAATAACCGATTTAATAGAAAATTAATATATACACTACAATTCAAAAGTTTGGGGTCAGTCAAATTTTTTTCATGTTTTTGAAATAAGTGTCTTATGCTCACAAAGGCTGTAAAAACAGTAATATTGTGAAACATTCATAAAATTTCAAATAACTATTTTCTATTTTAATATATTTTAAAGGGGTCATATGATGCTGCTAAAAAGAACATTATTTTGTGTATTTGGTGTAATGAAATGTGTTTATGCGGTTTAAAGTTAAAAAAACACATTATTTTCCACATACTGTACATTATTGTTTCTCCTCTATGCCCCGCCTTTTTGAAACGCGTCGATTTTTACAAAGCTCATCGGTCTGAAAAGCGCGGTGTGCTGTGATTGGCCAGCTATCCAGTGCGTTGTGATTGGCCGAATACCTCAAGCGTGTGACGGAATGTTACGCCCCTCACCATACTGTTGATGCCGTGTCCGGCCGGGCCGGAGTGCTACTCTACACTGCTCAAAACTCGCGTTTGAACCGATCCGGCGATCCACAGCACTAAGTTATCTCTTTGGATTTGAGACTTTAGTCTTTGCAACTTTACATATCTTCTTTATGCACCAAGAGATTGTAACACTCCAAAGAGAAAGGAAAAATTGAAATCGCATCATATGAATTATCGCAACAAAAAATTATTTCTGTGATGGCAAAGCTGAATTTTCAGCATTATTACTCGTCTTCAGCGTCACATGATCCTTCAGAAATCATTCTAATATGCTGATTTGCTGCTCAAAAAGCACTTATTATTATCAATGTTGAATATTTTTGTGGAAGCCATAATAAATTTTTTCAGGATTCTTTGATGAATAGAAACTATTTTTTGTTTCAATTCATAGTGACAGAAATTACACTTCACCTTTAAGACATCTTTAAGCCATTTTATCTACACTAAAACAGTATAAATCGCATAAACACTGAATTCACCCGATAAACTCTTAGGCTTTGCTCAGCTAAAGTGCATTTAGATATTAGCTGACTGTTGTGGAGAATTTACCTGATCAGCGGTTTTATGGTTAATCCAAGTCAAGTCATTCCAAAAGCTTTCAGTATGTCCCTTACAATACTGTTTTCATTATTCCAACTATTTTAGCACACATCTAATGATATGTATAACAACCTGAATTGGTCAAAAGCCTTAAAAACATATTACCAACATAACACTGAAGAAAACTCTGCTTCATATCATCCAATTAATGGCAATCAAAAAATTTATCATTGCACAACCTAATGCTACCAGTAAAAAAAAAATCCTCTTAACGCACAGGAATTCAAGGTGTCCTAGATAAACTGAAAAAGACACAGGTGTGTGTGTGTGCCTGGAACGCCATGAATCTCATTAGGGTGAAAAGCCGGACAGCATCAAATCATGTGCACTCAGAGGATAATGAGACTTTTAAGACAGGCATTCTTATTGTGTGTGTCAGCGAAGGGGGTGGTGAAAGTGCTCCAAACTAATCTCAGCCTATCACAGCGCAGCAATCCACCCCCACCAGTCACCACTATGTTATTTGAACAGCGCACGCTTCCTCCTGCTGAAAAGAGGAGGAACCAAACAACCAATTACCAGAATACACAAGAAAGCACAATACACGTGAAACAGCAAGCCTTTCAAATGAAAATGTGACTGTTCAGTCCCTTTAAATACACTCGCTTTCCTGACACTGGAGCGGTGTTAACAGCTGATTAATGACATTACTGATATCTGTAAGAGGAAAAAACACCTCCCACATGCATAAACGCATATCAAGGTTTCACTTTTCTTTGAACAATTCTGATTGTGTCAAACAAGAGAAGAGAAGCCCTCAGATTCTTCTTCACATAATTTCCCTGGACAACACCTGACTGTCTAAAGTATTTTGGTGTACTTATTTAATGGCTATAGAGGGCAAAAAGTGTAACTGCACACAGGAAATGACGGTCCACCAGTGTGCAATGCAATTTACAGCCCAGCATTACAAACTGCTGGCTGAATGCTTTTACAGAGTCACATGCTGAGTAGAATTACAGTCAGCAGTGGTGAAATATACAGAAGTGAAACTGACCGAGAGGACTTCTGTCACAACCTTAAGACTGGAGTAAAATACATGTTAGTAAAAAAAATAAAAATCATGAGAATACATTTGATATATCAATGAGAAATAGAAAATCAGCTAAAAAAAAATCAAGTATACAATTGCAAATTAATATTAATATATATATATATATAATTTTTTTGATTTTCAAATAGTTAATTCTATTTATCCTCATAAATAATTGATTAATTGATATATCAATAACTGATTTATTGGTCCACAGATTGCATGGTCAACAAGCTTGTCATGTAAATTATCCCTGAGAATGTCATTCTTCCAGTATTTTTGTTAGAGCAACACGATGAACCAAAACTGCAGGAGTGTGTTATATAAATGCAGTACATTTTGGAAAAGCAAGCAGGGGGTTACTGTCCTACTTTCCCTCTGGCTGTAAGCCTACACACAGCCTCGTAAGCCCCGCCCTACACACAGAGCAGCGGCTGGCGCGCACATGGAGGGAAGGGGGAGGGTTCTGCCCACGCGGTTCTCACATGAGGGCGTGGCTATGACAGACACGTCACCGAGGCGCTTCAGAAAGCGCCAGTGAGTGGACGCATGCAGCGCGGGAGAGAAAACAACATTTGTGAAATAAGTAAACCGTGCACTGTTGCGCTGAAAACACTCGGCGAAAATGCAATAAAACATTATATCCATTCACTTCTACAGAAAGGGTGCAAATAAGAGCCGCGTAATGTGATACTTAGGTCATTATGTAAAGCGCAACTGAACTGGCACTCGCGCACGTACTTGTAAGCCACCGCCCTTAAAAGCAAGCAGGTATGTTTTTCTACATCGCCACTGCACGGAAGTATTCAATCACGAACTATCCCAACGGTCAAAGCTGATAAACATACATTATCTGCATTTTAATACATGGCTGTCACTATCCGGAAAACTACAAAGTAAACGTAAGCATACTATACTGCAGTTTCGCAGAGTCTTATTATCGGCGTATTATAACATGACAATATTTCATGTCACGCACTAACGTTACAGATTCCTGCTATCACGTAGCCTGTGACATCCCGTGCAACAATGTCTCATATTAACCGGATACTACATTAGAGAACAACATTGATTCATTAAAGTGACCCTCTGCCTGTCATAAAGGCTCGTGTCCCCATATGTTTCCTTTCTTACCACGTGCTTTCTGTTGTTGCAGGGCTTGCAATTCCAAAAACTTCGCCGCCTCTAAAAGCGTCTCGATACTCATCTCTGTTTCTTGTTATGGTCCAAAAAAGATTGGGGAAATTAATTAAAATGCTAAATAGATCGATTAAAATGCTTCTGCCCGGGATCCAATCTTCTCGTCTATAAAAAAAATAAAAGGAAAGGAAAGACGTGACTGGATCCCCTTTGAAGTCACTCTTCCACGCACGTAGAGGAGTCACAACAAGATGGCGCGGGTTATTCAGTCAACATTTCTTGCCATTGTACAGACAGTTGGACTCCGCCCCCTGCACCGATGCCCCGCCCCCCACACGCTGGTCTTCCAAAACACGAAGATGGCAGTGCTTTAATAATCGCGTATATTCGACGAATTACGATAGAACACAAACTGACATAAGGTCAGTAATACGTATGCCACCACGTTTCTTCTGTGTTGGTTAAAATTCCTAAGTAGAACGCTTAAAATATAAACGTCGGATCCAGGTTTTACGCAATACACCTACACATACCACGCCTCTCGTTGATTAATAAAACATGAGATCAGAGCAGCCAATAGGAAAGCAGCCATGCAAGGCATGGTATCTGCTCACATGGGTGTCATTCTGCGCGTTTTGCACGCCAACTAAAAACGAAAATGCAACCTGCAGGTCGACCTATGGTTCAGTCACTATTCAAACAGATGGTGAGTATCGATAAACAGTCCGCAGTAACATTACACAGCACTGTCACCATGATTTGGCTGGGATCAAAACGCAATTTCTGTGACAAAGATCCAAAACATCTCTGAAATTAGCTGGTATAGACAGCACACACTGCTTTACAGCAGTATAAAAAGCTAATTAATAAAAAAAAGTAAAAGTTATACTTAACTGAATGTTTTTGGCCTCCTAAACTACTACATATTTACATCAATTCATAAAAATGAACCCTTTTCTGACCAGAGATATGCAACTTTTCTATAGAAATATATTCACCACATTAACATTTATTTCAGTAAACCCTCATTTTGAGCAATAAACACCACCAGTTCACTCTGCTGCCCTTTTTCACCCGAGATACAGAATCTTTTCTTTGCTGCCATGATACATGTGCCGACTGAATAAAGGGTGAGTCATGTGACTGTATCCATGGTAACCGGTGAGGCAGTGTACTGCAGGACAGTAGGGAGTCTTGAACTTGAAGAGAAGGAGAGAGCAGCAGAGATGGAGAAAAGGGTCTGGTGACAAAAAGAGGACAGAACATTTTGAACGTTGAAATGCATTGATTAAATAGGGTGTTTAAATACACTATACATTACTAATAATCCTAATAAGACGATAAGAAAAAAATTGTAAAATTTCTAAGCCCTTGCATCTGAACTTTCTCTGCAATTTCCCACATGACTTCTTAAACAGCTATTGCACATGTATTCAAACCAGTTATGTATCTGATTTAATTCAAAAGGAAAACCCTTACAAGAACAGCTGTACATTTCTGTTTACGTCTCTCTGGTAGAAGAAACAGCCTTCCACATGAGATCCAAAATCCTGTTGCTTTGTGGTAACTGCTATGCACGTCAAGTCATTCTTCATTTCCTTTTAATCATTTGAGAAGGTCAAAGCAGAGGGTAAGCAAACACACTCATAAACCTGCTCTACCCTCAGACTTTCATGAGACTCTCACATGCACGGAAATGGAGAATAAACTCCTGGTTCAACTTCAGAATCTGCCCCTGGAGCAATTAGAGTAGAAGTTTACCCTGGAGAGCTTCACGTGACTCCCAGCGCACATTATCTGCTCGTGGTCCTCTCAGTGACTGCTGCTGCCGCCACTGCTTCCTGTTATGAAAGCCTGCTCCTCTCAGGACGTTTATACTAACTCAAACGTCCCGTGAAACAACCAAAAAGGCATTCCAGAGACCGGAAGTGCAAAGGAACACAACCTATTACTGAGTTATTCGGCTTTCCAAATATTTTATGTCTAAGGAATATATGGGGACAATCTTTGTCCAGCATTTGTAAAAGCAGGAAACTATTGCCTCTTAGGTAAACTGGGTTTGGGTTGGTTAAATTCAGAATCAAAGTTACTAACAAAAATAGTTTAACATGTATTTAAATTATATTGTTTATTATAAAAAAAATTAATCCGAGAAAGCCCAACATTTTTTATCATATTTTTATATTTGATTTAAATTTTTATAAAACTTCTGAGAAATGCGAAATGTTTTTTAAAAATCTAATCCAAAGCAATATTGTTCAGCAGAAAATTGTGTCAAGTAAAAAAAATCTAAACAGTGGATCCATTCATATATCTTTAAAATCAGCATAAAATGAAATATATACCTATTTTCTAAATGCATATTACAGATTTCAGTGTGAACAATTCATCCACACGTTTAATTTTTAGCAAAATTTTTGACCTCAATGTCAAAACCACATCTTCCGGTGAAATCAAATCAATAACAGATGTACAGAACCAAGTCCGCACCTGACTTTTTCTTTTTCAATAATTCATCAACAGACCTGTCGCTACTTCCATTTCATCGTGACCTTAAGAAAATTGTCATATTATTATAATACATTATTGCCAAGCTTTAATATTTACAATAAAAAAATATAAATAAAAAAAACAAATATCTCTAAAATAAATAATAACATCCTAAATAAAATTAATTAATTAGTGTGCATTTAACCAAAGTAACAAAAATACTAACAACAAAAATGTTTAAAATATTTTATTGCAAACATAATAAAAGGTCTGATCACAACATCGATCAGTGGTTAATAAAACATCTGTCAATCTGGAGTTTTGGTTAATTTACAGCTTTACCAGTTGTATGGTTCACAGCACTTTGGACAGTGGTAAGTGCTGAATCTGTGTTGGAAGGTGGGGAGGAAAGCTCTGTGTGGTGTTAGGTAGGTTTGGCTACCTGTCGAAAGAGAGAGTTCTTCAAACAAGTGCAGAGCTGGTTCATCAGATCTTTATTCTGCCCTTCCACCCAATGCATCTCCACCACCACATCGTTCTCTTCTTCCTTCACAGTCACCAGGCACTTGAAGAGAAAGCACTGTACTGTCTCTGGGTTTTGAGGATCGCCAACGGCCGCCTCCTTTGGTTCGGTGGGGGAATCCATTGGGAAGTTGGCACCTTTCTCTGGGTCTTGCTGCTCATCCCTCTCCTTCGCGCTGCTGCCCTCTGCTGTGGGTTCCTCTGGTGCTGGTGTTGGAGCGTCTGTGTCAGGGACAGATGGAGCGGAGGCATCTGTGCTACAGGTGGAGGTCGGTTGTGCTCTAGGGAGCTCTCGGAGATGTCGTCCCTGTTCTCGTCTCTTCTGCCGCACATGGATCCAGGTGTTCTCCACTGCTGTCAGGAAGAGGTTGAGCTCCGCCTCTCCACAAGGAACCCGCTTATGAAGTACCTGAAGATGAGAAGTTTAATGTTGAACATTTGTATCAGCCACTGTCCCTACATTAAGCCTACAGCAAGTCGCTTTGGAACAGACTGTCTGCTAAATAACATTAAAATAATAACAATAACAACAACAATACTACTACTAATAACAATTGTTATTGATATTATTAATAATAATTATTATTTTATTATTATTATTGCATAACTAACAAAATAATGATTTTTATTTTGTTAATTATTTAATAATAATAATAATAATAATAATAATAAGCAGAACCTAAAATAATAATAGTAACAATTACTGTTATTATAATTAATGGTAGTTATATCATTATTATTAATGTTAATAACAACAATTATTATAATAATAATATATTCTAATAATAATAAATTATTATTTATTTATCTATTTATTATTATTATTATTATTATTATTATTATATCTTTTTTGTTGTTGTTGTACTTAACTTACCACTTATCCCTGATAAAATAAATGTAAATCAACACACTGATGTCTGAATATCCATTTTCCTCTTTCTGTTTACCTTCAGGTCTGTGAGGATCTTCTCCAGCCAGGCAGACACACTCTCTGTGGGGCTGGTGTTGGTGCAGCTGATGCTGGGCGCCTGCGTCTGGAGCTCCGTCACACTGGGCTTCAGTACAGTGAAGGTGAGGGCCTTACGGGCTTTCTCCAGCTTACGCCTCTTACAGGGAGGACACTGAGAGAAATTTAGAAGGAAATCAGTTTTTGTTAGTTAACTTTAGTGTTTACATGTCAGTTTACACATAAGAGGTCTGCACCCTTAAAAATAAAGATAAAAAACGTGTAATTTTACTTAAAGGATAGCTGTAACCTCACATACCAATGTCATTGAGGGACGTTTGTTACAGAACAAGGAGGTCAACTTAATTCAGGAATCTCAGGAGTTCTTAATATGTTTTAGTAAAGGTGGCCAATAGATGGCAGCAAAACACAAAGTTCACCTTGGCCTTCAGTGATTTCAATGAACTATCTGGAGTTCTAGTGGCACTCATGTTTATCAAATAAAATCTGAAATTAAATGAAAACTTGAAAAAATGTTGCCATGGCAACTAAAATTAAAATAAGTTTAAGCTGAATTACTAAAATTACTAAAACTAAAATACATAAAGCTAAAACTAAATAAATGAAAATGACAAAAGCACATAACAAAATTACAAAAATGTTTTAAAAAACAACTAATTTAAAAAATATTTAAAACTCATTTTAAAACTAAAATGCAAGCTAAAAACAAAAAAAAGCTCATTCAAAATCTTAACAATTAATGGTATATAAATAATACTAAAATAACACTGTTTTATATAGTTATTTGCCAAACTTGTAATTACTCATAATTAAAGTTGAAAATATTACATAACAAAAATTAAGCAAATTGGCTTCCACATTAAAGATAGCTGGGTTCCAGTCTCTATAAATATTTCTGCTTGAGTGTTACCAATACCATAGCATTTTTGTTTTCCGCATATTTTGCTAAAGAATATATTCATGAATGAATGCAGTGAATAAATGTCAACAACAAAACTGCCCATAGAAACTAATAATGAGTCTGAGGACCTGAGCAGCTCAGTGTAGTTTGAGTCATCTTGTATTTAGAGTAATTTATGATGTAATGT